TCTGGCTGGGTACAGTGGCTCAGGCCTGTAATCTCAGCACTTTGGGAGGCCCAGGCAAGTGGATCACTTAAGGCCAGGAGTTTGAGACCAGCTTGGCCAACATGACAAAACCCCATCTCTACTAAAAATAACAAAAGTTAGCCAAGCATGGTGGTAATCCCAGCTACTTGGGAGGCTGAGGCAGGAGAATCACTTCAACCCAGGAGGCAGAGGTTGCCGTGAGCTGACATTGCACCACTGCCCTCCAGCCTCTATGACAGAGTGAGGCTGTCTCAAAAAAAAAAAAAAAAAAAAAGCGTGGAATCTGGAGTCAGACTGTCTGGTGCAAGTCATTACTTACTACCTGTCTGGACTTGGGCAATGTATTTTACTATGCCTCAATTTCCTAATTTATAAAAATGGGGATAATATTATGCCTCTCTCATCTACTTACTTTGAGGATTAAATGAGTTAATGTATGTAAAGTGCTTAGAACAGTGTTGGAACATAGAGAACTTTGTAAACGCTAGCTATTCTCCTTCATAGACTCCCCTGTATAGAGCTATATAGACAGAAAGAGAGAAAGATAAAGCCATATTAGACAACGGTTTTTCAGATAAATCTATATATACAGAAGGATAGTTGATCAACTAACCAGTCAGTTTGGAGAATATAAAAATATCATCTGTTTCAAGCATACAAATAAGCATTTTTTCTCCCTGTGGCTCAGTTTTATGCCTGAATTATGCCTAGAGTGGCTCCAGCATGGGCAGCAGACTTATTTTCAGTCAAGACTTTGCCTAAAACAGAAATGCCCATTTTTGGTTGAACATCTTTTCACACTTGAGACCTACATCGTCCCTAGATGGCAATGCTGAGCCTATATGAAAGAGGGCTTTGCATTACATTTGTGTGTAGTTTGGAAGCAGGCTCTAGGACTTTTCCCATGGATAATCTTTCCAGAGTTAGGAAAAAAATGGAAGAGAGAAAAAAGAAAAAAAAAGAAAAAGCACTCTTAAATAATGGAGATATTAAAGGCACATTTGTAGGCAAATTGTCAGTGTTTTAAGTGAATTTTTGTTTTAAAGATACACAGACTACAAAATATTACATGAAAACCCATATATTTAAATCTTTTAAAAAACTGAAATGAAAGTATAGCTTCGTAATATAATAACCGTACTGTATCATGAAACATATATGTGAAGAAGAGATAAGCAGTTGCCAGTACCACGGAGAAGTCAGGTGTAAAACTTGAGGAGAGAGCAGTCCCAGAGACAGACATGTGCTAAATATCAAAAGGGTGGAGATAGTCAAGGACCTGCAGGAATCATGGCCTTCTGGAGCAGAGGAAGAGAAAGTACATCACATGGATTTTGCTCCACTTTTTTTGCATTCTGATCCATTCCGCACCAAGCTCAGAAGGTCCAGTTTGTTCGAGAGGAGTTCACTGGAGAGAACCAAGAGAGATCAATACCGTTTATGCTCCCTGGAGCTCATCAATGCCTGATTTTATGGTCTTATGAGCTTCACACTGGTGATCCTTGGGAATCTACATTAATTCCTAGGAATCTAAAATAAGCATTGTGATTTTGCAGTTATACATGCAAAGTATGAAAATATAACAGAAATTTCCATATGGTACAAAGTGTTGAAAGCCTCATAGTGTGTGCAATTCTAAGTAATTTTTGATTATATAAAAAAAAAAAAGCGTTCGAGAAAAGTTGAGTACTGCAGACTCTCTCCTTTTCTTGCCTGAAGTTGATAATACCTCTGCCACTCATCTCTGAGAATCCTACGCCTTCAGTCATTAACTCATTCAAATAGTCAGTGGATATGTAATGAGCACCTATCCTATCCCCTGCACTGGGGAGTGGGGGATAGAGTGATAAGAAAGTCATCACTGCCCTGCTCAGGGGTTAAAATCAGACACAAACTTCCGTAAATAATTTACAATTGCGACGGAGACTATGAAGGGAGAAGTTCAGGGTATCATGAAACCATGAAAACAATGGTGTGCTCATTAAAAGCATCAAATTAGAAGCAATGCAGGAAAACTTTATTGTTCTCTAAGCTCTCAACATAGTTTAGGTAAATCTACTAAACAATTTAGCTGAAGATGTGTTTCAACTCATATCAAGCCTTTAAGAAAGGGTTGTCTTCCTGTCCCTTATATACTGCAATCAAGCGAAGTTCCAAGGTCACTTCTGTTAGTTACACTAATGGAACTACAACCTTGTTTTCTTTCTTTTCACATTAAATTCTCCCACAGGAAGGCAGAAAGGCATATTTAAAGGAAAGAATTTGCAGAATTCTGGTTTAGAATCCTGACTCTACCACTCTGATTCTATATAATTTTTTAAAAATTACTCTCTCTGACCTTCAGTTTTCTCCTTTAGAACATTGGTACCATAATAATTCCTTCCAGGGTTGTTATACTATTAGAAATAAAGTTTTGTAAAGCACTGGCACACTGTCTGTTGCATAAAGCTCTTAATAAATAACATATATTAGTATCATTGCTGAGACAGAAAAGCCTCATTTTTGAACAAATGTGCTAAACTGTTCTATCTCGAAAGATGAAGTACCTACTACCATCCAATGTGATCAACTAAAATACCAACAATAACAATTGAAATAGTAAAATTTAATAATCATGTTTAGAGTTTGATATTATATTATTTCTGGTATTTTTACCAATTTTACCTGTCTTACTAGAATGAAATTTGAGAATCGTATGTAAAATTAATTAGAGTTAACTCACAATACATAATTACAAGTAACTTGAATTCATACAGGACATCCTTTTTTCTCATAAATTAAAAGTTTGCTCTTAGATATGGAAAAAATTTAAAAAGAAATTTCATTATCAGAAGAAGGAAGAATACATATGTGGTAAATGAAGTCTTGATGAATTTAACCATCTCTTTCCACTGAAAATGCCTATTGCTGTGGCTAGACAGATTGCATATACAGTCCGTAATCAATCATCACAATAATCTTCAAAGTAGTGTAAGGGGATTTCCAGTCGCTGCTTCTAATTATTCCAGAGCTGGAAGGTTGGGGACTTGCACTTCTCTCGTCACCCTTCACTCACTCTTCAAGATCGCGGATAATTGCCTTGCCTGATTGTTGAGACTAAGAGAAAGGACTGAGAAAGCCTAGCTCAGGTCAGTTCCTTTTAAGACCCCTTAAGTGGGATGCGTTCCCAGCTATATTTAGAAGACTGGGCTTTCTCCTTTGCCTGAGACTGGGGGAAGAAATTTAATTCTGGGATGAAATATTAAGAAGTTCATTGTGGTTACACGTCTTGGCCACATCTCAAATTCAGCTTTAGTTTTTTTTTTTTAGGTTTATATTTTAATCTTCATCTGCTTCCTATGTTTTTCAATTTGTTTCTAGTCTCAAGAGTGATATTACAACATGAATTTATTATGAAAAAATTCAAGTTTAGGAAGGTAACATGCTAGTACTAAATACTGGATTAAATTTTCAGCCATGAGCCAGGCGCGGTGGCTCACGCCTGTAATCCCAGCACTTTGGGAGGCCGAGGCGGGTGGATCACGAGGTCAAGAGATCAAGACCATCCTGGTCAACATGGTGAAACCCCGTCTCTACTAAAAATACAAAAAATCAGCTGGGCATGGTGGCGTGTGTCTGTAATCCCAGCTACTCAGGAGGCTGAGGCAGGAGAAGTGCCTGAACCCAGGAGGCGGAGGTTGCGGTGAGCCGAGATCGCACCATTGCACTCCAGCCTGGGTAACAAGAGCGAAACTCCATCTCAAAAAAAAAAAAAAATTTTCAGCCATGGCCTATTTTACTATAAAATTTAGATTTTTTGTTTTAGGATACAATGCTGTATTCATTTTGTTGAGCAGTAAAAATAACAACTACAACAATAATAAACTCTTCATACTTTTTGAAACTATAGATTTTTGCCCTTGGGTCCCAACAAACTTGCTGTTTATTCACGTACTGGCATCGTCTGGTGCTATGGTCTGAATGTCCTCCAAAATGCATGTGTCTAAACTTAATTGCCAGTGTGATTGTAATTAAGAGGTAGGCCGTTTAGGGAGTGACTAAGTCATGAGGACAGAGCTCTCATGAGTGGGATTAGTGACTCTATGTAAGGGCTGGAGAGGACCAGTTCTCCCTTTCCATCCCATATGAGGACACAGTATTCTCCCCCTCCAGAGGACACAGCAACAAGGTAGCATCTTGGAAGCAGAGAATGGGCCCTCCCCAGACAGATACCTGCTGTCACCTTGATCTTGGACTTCGTAGCCTCCAGAGTTGTGGTATTTTTAGCAGCACAATCTGTGGTCATAGAAAGTATCTACACTCCCATCAGTTATACACTGTGTCTGTATAGACCAAGCACACAGAAAGATGGGAGATGTAAATACTAAGACCACAATGTCAATAAAATCCTGCCTCCACCTCTCCACCATGCCCTGCCAATAAGTTTCACCTTTTAGGATAGGTGATTTCTCTTGATGTATGTATACCATGGCATGAAGGCTTTAGTAACTTTACACTTGATTGTGTAGAAATGGACCAGACTTCATTGTGCCTGGTTGTATTTTTTCATGACATTTGGATAGCTTTCTCCTTTTTCACAACCAATCAAGTTTATGGATCTGAATTTCTGAGACTTAACCTTGTATTAACTATACAACACTGTTTTAACAATATTATTTTCTATATTCTTATGCTCTGGCATGTGGGACCTCACTAATGAAGGAGAGACTGACCTTCCAAGGCTTATCTAATTCCTAGAGGTAGTACACTTGCCTGTGAGCACACCTTTTAAGTAAACCAACCAATCCTGAGTCCACACTCCCACTGCCTCCTCTATCTGGCTCTGACACTCCAAGAATTAATATTCCTCTGTCCTAGCCACGCTAGCACCAGGTACCAGACAACTGGTATATATAACCCAGAACCTGCCAAATTATTCAAATTATCAAATCCTAAACCTGCTTAGCTAGTCACCTTGCCTGGCCCGTTTCTCCTTGTAGAAACCACAGTACAGGCTCTTGCCCATGCCTTTCCCTCTCTGCTTCTGCTTCTGACTGACCCTGGTGTTTCCCTGCGTTGTTACGTGTGACCCCATCCTTGGGAACTGTGAGTAGCAAACTATCTTTTCAATGGCAGTCATCTCCTGATCTGTTGGCCTTGCTATAACTGAACAAAATAACATCCCAGATACATTTTAAAACAAAACTATATCCTTGCAAAAGATTATGCACAACCATTGGTATTTTAATATACTCTCCTTTTTACAGCTGTTATATGCTAAAACTGTTTTATTACAAATTAATGAGATGATGGTTTTCTAAAATTCTTTAGAAAAATAGTATTATTGAGAATGGAATGTAACAGTTGTTTTCTATTGTAATTTCTTTTAACAGAATGTCATCTTTTTCAAACTTGGCTAAACATACCTGATAATTATTTAAAGTGAAAGCAATTTAAAGCTACCTGGTGGCCTTATAGCTTCAAATGGAATTTTTTGTAAGCTTCATAAAGATAGTAACTTTCATTATAAATTATTTTGAAAATTGAGTTGAAACAAGAATCACGTAAAAGTAACTAAAATTGTATTTGTATTCTGAAGAAAAGGTACAGGGTAATGAGGATCGACTTGATAACATGTGTAGAAGCCCCTAGTTCAGTGATCAACATGTAATATAATTTATTTTATTTTATTTTATTTATTTTTTGAGATGGAGTCTCGCTCTGTCATCCAGGCTGGAGTGAAGTGGCTTGATCTTGGCTCACTGCAACCTCCACCTCCTGGGTTCAAGTGACTCTCCTGCCTCAGTCTCCTGAGTAGCTAGGATTATAGGCATGTCCCACCACACCCAGCTAATTTTGGTATTTTTTTTTTTTTTTTTTAGTAGAGACGGGGTTTCACCATGTTGATCAGGCTGGTCTGGAACTCCTGACCTCAAGTGATCTGCTTATCTGGGCTTCCCAAAGTGCTGGGATTATAGGCGTGAGTCACCACACCTGGTTGAAACAAAGTTGAACGATGTTATTTTTCTCTACCAATACCTGCAAGAGCATTAAACTAGATTTGCATTTTGGAAGGAAGTTGGAATACCGAAAACCGAAGCAGCAACTTCATAGGGTTAGGGTAGTGTTTTCCAACATTTTTTTCATTATTACTTCCTAGGGAGTCTTGTTAGACATTTGTTTTTCTAATAATCTCCTGCCCCTACCCCACCATGAAATATGAATGCTTCAGATCTGCCATATCCCTGTTTATCTACTGTGGCCCTTTAGAGGTCCATGAACCATTATCATTGCTACAATTTTTTCACCACACCGGCATCAACTTTCATGCTCTTGGGGGGACATATCACCCCCATTGACAAAGCATCTTTGGTTTGCCAGTGGTTCTTGGCTACACATTAGAACCACCTGGAAAGCTTTTAAATTCCAAGGCCCTACTCAGAGATTTTTATTTGTCTGCAAGGAGACCCTAGGCATTCTTATTCTAAAATCCTCCAGTGGGTTAGATCAAGAAAGATCCTCCACTACTGAGCACAGAGGAGCAACTCTAACTGCACACTTAATGCTTTAAGCCCATGAAAAGTTAACTGAGTGATATCATTGGGGTATTTGTCCCCTCCAAAACTCATATTGAAATTTAATCCCCAGTTGGAGGTGGGGCCTAGTGGGAGGTGTCTGGATCATGGGAACGAATCACTTGTGAATGACTTGGTGCCCTCCCCACAGTCATGAGTCAGTTCTTGCTCTATTAGTTCACGTGAGAGCTGGTTATTTTAAAGAGTCTGACACCCCTTTCTTCTCTCTTTCTTTCTTGCAATTGATGCCTGCTCCCCTTCCCCTTCCACCGTGTTTGAAAGCTTCCTGAGGTCCTCACCAGAAGCAAATGCTGGTGCCACACTTCTTGTACAACCTGCAGAACTATGAGCCAAATAAGCCTCTTTTCTTTATACATTACCCAGCCTCAGGTATTCCTTTACAGCAACATAAAACAACGACACCAAATAAAATGAAGTGCTGGATTTGTAATTTCCCTTGATTAAGTAATGTAAATTGATAGGCAGCAATTCTTTCACACTATAATGAAAACTTGTATATTTACACGGATTCCCCATGTAGACTCAGAAAATGGTTATGCAGAAAGTATTTCTGGAATAAAAAGAGAAAGTGAGCAAAGATAGTAATTCCAGGACAATGGTGTTGGAAGGAGAATGATCCCCTTTCCATTTTGCAGTTGGCAGATGTTACCCCATGTTACCTGGGGTTAACCATACTGACCAGAGCCTTCAGTTTGCAATCTGATCCTGGGAGGGCCAGTTTGGGTCAAACCGTAGTTCTCAAAGTGGGCTGGCCCGTAGTATCAAAAATGTAAATTATTGGACCTTCGCCCGGACCTGATGAATCTGAAATGCAGGGTGGGGGCAATGATGTGTAGCATGATAAGCCCCTTCACCCGGCAGTTCTAGTGTGTACCAAAGTGTGAGAAACCCTGCGGTAAAAACATGATTCTTGAGCATCTGCTTCTTTTCTTCCTTAAGAAAATGGAAATTTTAGTCCTACTGCTGATTTGTATCCTATACTTGGTTAATTGGTTCTTCATTCTGTTCCTGTGAACCAAAATGTTAACAACCCAGATCTTATTAGTGCAATCAACTAATTTAACATTTTCAACTTTTAAAAACCACTATTGGAAATGTGAAATCAGAGTGCAACACCAAACATTTTAAACCTCTAGTTAACAAAAATTATAGAGAAGGAAAATAAGTGTTTTTTTTTTTTTCTTTTGCTTACAGGATTAACTAACCAAAGAAGTTTCCTTTTGGATCATTATGGACATTTAATATTCTTTCTGCTTTCCTGGAAATATCAAACATTAATCAGATCCCCAAAATTAAGGTGGCATTAAGCAATGAGAGTCATTTGGACAATACTGATAATTGTATCCAGTCTACTCATTATTATTTAAATCATGTCAATTTTGAGCTACATTGCCCTAAAAGCTTATATGTAGACATATATTATTTATAATTTATCATATGTATACATACACATATTACATAGACACACACACAGTGCTGTGAAAGCATATGTCAGAATTAAACTGCCCCATTTTCTTAAGTTGTTCTCATTGTTGATTTAATTTTACGTATGGTTCAAAATGGCCTTTTAAGAAGAGAATTGATTCTAAAGCAGAAGTGTGATGATTACCTCTCCTGGGCCAGATTTTATTAATATATACCAATTCTGTCGCAACAGGGAGAGGAAGAGGGCTGAAGATGACAGAGGATAAACAGCAGAGTTCAAGGCAATAAACTTATTGCAGGTGGCTTTAATCAAACTTAAGAGGACTGGAACTGAAGGTCATTCTCCTCCTCTGCACTTCAAGAGGAAATGCTGCTTTAAGTAAGGCTCAGGCTGTTGACATGAACATACTTAGAAAATAATATTGTATGGGAATCCAGGCATAAAAACAAAGTGCTGTATCCCATTTGCTATGGAGCTGAAGGGAAAGGCTGTGCCACATTATGTGTTTCACTGCCCATAAAAGGTAATGTAACTCTGCTCATGAACTGTTGTTCAAATATACATTGTGCCTGATGTAAACCATTTCCCTATCGGGCTGTAAAAGAGATAGTACAGAGATGACAGAGAAGTGTATCATGAGAAATTCTGAAGGTCACAAAATTCTATACGCTTTGAGATGAACTCAACTGACTTAAAGCCAAGCAACGATGTAATCTCTTGAAAAACATAAAACACCAATGAAACATTCATTTTGATACAACAGATTAGGAAGAGAATTTGGCTCAAAAATTTTAGCTGTGACTTCACAAAGTCACATAAAAGCAACTGTGACTTCCTGAAAGCAACACAACTAATCAGTTCAGTGAAACAACTGGTCAACTCCAAGGGTTTGCCCCAAAAGTCCAAGCCTAAATATATTTCTTTTATCGACACCAATTTCTACAGGGAAGAAGCCTTTATTAATTTCACTCTTACAACACTCAAAGCCTTCTCTCAAGCACTTTATATAAGACATTTAGAAAAGAGGACATGCTAAATTATTTTATCTTGGATTTGAAATGTTAGAGTGAAATCATAAGGAGACTAGAGTACTTTACTGTAACTTTTTAGGACTTTACAATCTCTAACAATATTAATCAACACCAGTTCTAAAAAGTAAAGGACATAAAAGGGATCATCAGTTATTGCTTCCATGTTATATTTAGAATACAGCAGAGAATGAGCGAACGATGTGTAGGGTTGTCAGAGGAAAGCAGAGGCTGACCAAGGTCTGATCGCCGGACTGTGGAATCCTTCGAGTTGTTCCATTCTTTTTTGGGTGACAGATTTCTAAAACTGGGTTACACAAAAAGCAAGAACATCACTGACCTTTCCTAATCATCAGCCAGCCGTATTTAAAATAGCACAGGAGGTCACAAAACAGTACATCTTGAGCCCTCATTTTGGCAATAGTGATGGTTTTGACTGATGTCTTGACCTTTCTTCGTAAAATTTAAAGTCATGTCTCACACAGAAAATAAAACCATATACACTACAGTAGGATACATATTTTTCAGGTTGTGGCATCTGGACCTACTTACATTATTTTATGTGAGGAACTTCTTAGATAAAAGTCCTCCTCCCTATTTCTTTTCTTTCAATCTGCCTCTGGTTAGATGATCGTGTGACGCCAACATTCCTTGATCCACAATGTCCTACAGTTATATCATCTTGCTTTTTCCAGGTATTTTCCTAATAGTGTTAAAGAAAGTGTTATTTAGTCAAATATCTGCCATCAAGGCAGCTATGAGAAAAACTTTTGAGGACCAAATTGTTGGTTCTTTTGACTACATGTATGTAGTACCCTAGTTTTGAGGTAGGTATGTTGTGTTATGAAACTTTAGAAAATAAATATATAGGACAATTCTGGGCAAATCATCTTGATTTTTGAAACATGCATATCAATTATCCTGGGATGTCATGTCTTGGTTTCCAGCATTTTTATCTTCATAGACATAAAAAATACATCTCACTTTCTTGCCCAAAGTAAGATATGTTTCAGTGTCACCCGCCTAAGATATAGTTAGGTGTGCTTTTTTTCTTTAACTCATTCTGATTTGGGGCATCTGCAAAGGGTCATATGTCATGAACAATTTTTTTCTGCCAACTTTTTTTTAAAGTAATATTCTATTGATCTTTGGCAATTAGACTGATATAGTTATACATCTTGTATCAGAATTCTTTGTGTCCTTTGCATATTTTTAAAAACATGATCCTCTGCAAAGAATACTAGTGGTTAAGAAGTAAGTTAAAAAGACAACATGATTCTGAAATATTGTCAGAAAATACCGTTCTAGAATCTTTTGGTAGGTACAAATACTAATGGCTCACATTTATTGAGTGTTTATGCTTGGCACAGGATTAAGTACTATACTTCATTACCATTTAATAAACAGCAACGCCAGAAGATAAATACCGTAATCATGCATGTTGCAAGTTTTATTAAGGAGCTGAGGTTCAGAGAGGCCAACAACTAGTCCAAGGTCATG